CAAAATAAATAAATAAATAAATATTAAAAAAAAAAAAAAAAGACAAGACTTCCAAACTCTGAGTTTAAGGCAGCAACCAGGCATGATGACACATGCCTCTAATCCCTGCTACATGGGTGACTGTGGCAGGAGAACGCAAATTCCAGCTCAGCCTGAGTAGTTTAGCAAGCGCTGGGGCTGCAGCTCAGTGGTAGAACACTTGCCTAACATATGAACTTACGGGTTCAACCTTCAGTAAAGCAAAAAAAAGACTTGCTATATATAAGTCTCAGAAAATTTATTTTATTTTTGAAGACAGGATCTTGCAATGTAGTTGAGGTGGCCTTGGATTCGCTGTGTAGCCCAGGCTGGCCTCATCATCACCCTGTTTCAGCCTCCTGAGTGCTGGGATTATAGGACTGCCCCACCACGCCTGGCAGGAAATAATTTTTTTAAAAGTTAAGAATATAGTCTGGCATGTTGCCGCATACCTGTAATCCCAGCGCTCCAGAGGTTGAGGCAGGAGGATTTGTGAGTCTAAGGCCAGCCTGGGCTACACAGTGAGAGACTGTCTCCAAATTAAAAAAAAAAAAAAAAAAAAGAAACAAGACCAATATAAATATTAGGTATAATGTGATTAAATAGTTAGGAACCCCCATGCTGGGTGTGGTAGCACATGCTTATAATCCCTGCACTTTGGAGGGCGAGGATGGGGAAACAAGTTTTAGGCCAGCCTGGGCAATATGAGACCTAGCCTCAAAATAAAGAGGGATGGGGAGTTAATTCAGTGGCAGAGCAGTTGGCTAGCATGTATGAGGCCCTAGGTTCAGTGCCCAGTACCACGAAAAAAACAATTTTTTTTTAAATCCAAAAGTTGAAAGCACAAGGATGACAATGGGCAGATACAAGCAGAAAGATGGGGTAATGATAAAAGTCAGATGCTGTCACAAATTGTTAGGTAAGGCAAAGAGGGTATTTCATAGCTGTTAAAATGTCACAAATAATGACTGAATAAGATACAAACTGTATAAAGCAGATGTTACATATATGACAGTTTGGCAAGTGCAGGTGGATCACAAGTTCATGCATAACCTGGGTAACATAGCAAGACCCTGTCTCAAAAAGAGCTGGGAGGGGGCCAGAGAGATGGCTCAGTAGAATATGCACTTGCCAGGGCCTGAGTTCAATCCCCGGTTCCACAAAAAAAACCAAACCCCACCACATCAAAAAGAGCTGGGGAGGGGGCTGGAGAGATGGCTCAGTGGTCTAAAGCACCTACTTAGAACAAGCTTAGCAAAGCACAGTGGACCACGGTTCGATCCCCCAGCACCACATGCCAGCCAGCCCCGCCCCCTGGTGGGCTGAGCTGGCCACACACA